AGAGTATGTCATTGATTTTGCTGCCTTCTAGTTAATGTCATAACATCAATGATGTTATGGCAACTTGAGATCTTTTTGAAGCATACGGCCACATAATATGATAAGCCTGGCATGTAGACCATGGGACATACATGTTCTTGGCAGCAGTGTGTAGATATTATCTGGTTTTGCAGGCTGTTTGCATGCTACCTCGCTGTCTCCTAACTTGTTTAATGTGATCGGTGATTGTATACTCTTCTCAGTCTCTTCTGTCCCCTCCCCCTCCTTGTGGATTTTTTAACAAGAATCTGAGATGGGGATATCATAAATTTGTCTTTTCATCTTGGTTGGTCTAGATATTGTGAGACAGCACTTCACTTATATGCTAGACACAGATACAGTACCAGGTCCTGCTTATATTCTGACTTTAAGGACTGTCTTCTGGGTCAATAGAAGGATAGTCTTGGTAATTTAGAAATTTCCGCCATGTTGCACGTTTGGTGTTGACAGTGGCCTTCTTAAAGGTTATGTTGCTCTTTCAGAAATTTGCTCAAATTCTTTCTCTGATTCTTCCAGGGTTTACTGCTCTCCAAATATAACCGCTGAAAATTATTTATGTTTTTAACATATCAGTATTTCATTATTTGAGGCTAATTGTGAAAAAACATTTAATAATAGTATTAATGCTGTAAAGGCAAGAAATGGATGTCTTTGTTGGTTCAAGATCACTGGAAAGAGCTAGGTGTACTTTTTTCATAGTTTTCTAATTAACAAAATGGAAAAGAAAATTTTTTATCCCTACTAGTAACTTCTTACAAAAATGTTAAGACTTGGTCATCTTAGTGGCATTTAGAAAGCATATTTCATTCTATTTCCTTTGAAATAACTCCTGGATGGGAATGTTGGAAAACGTTGCCTATTGAGGGGGCAGAAGAGAGGCCTGGAGCCTGTGGAGCATTTATATGGAATGCTACGGTGGCTGCCAGTCACTGGGCACCTGGTGCTAGGTGCTGTGCTAGTGCTGCCAGTATGTTGGTACGTGTAGACTTCATGGTAACCTCATGAGCTAATAAGCACCATAATCTCCATTTCATACATGAGACAGTTGAGGCATAGAGAGGTTATATAACTTGTCCAAGGTTATTCGGTTAGTAGTTGGTAGAGAGAGGACTCAGACCTTGGTCTGGCTGATTCTAAAGCCTGAGCATTAGCATAATCCTGCTGTATTATTGCCTTCATTAATAGGAATTATTCAAGTGATTTTGCAATAAAAGCTTAGATTCTTAGGAATTATTGGTTTTCTACCTTATAAAAATGTTAATATAACTAAAATCTATTTTAAAATTCTGAATTCAGAACCGTCTGAACTTGCTTTTTCCATAAAGCAATTGTTGTTTTTTGTAGTTTTAATTTGTGGATTTCAGGATCATGAGAATAATGGATACTAGGTCTCAACTTCCCTTCAGTTTGGTTCACGAAGCATGACATAAACTATTTTCATCTCACCAGGAATTTGATGCTGTCCTCTGGGCCTGCGCACTTGTGTTCTGTAAATGCAAAGTTAGAGTTGGGAGCTCATCTGTCACTTCTAGATTAGAGGTTGATAGGTAGGCTTAATCAGGAAGAAATAGAATTCCTGAATAGACCAATATCAAGTATTGAAATTGAAGCAGCAATGAAAAACCTTCCTAAAAAGAAAAGTCCCGGACCAGATGGTTTCACACCTGAATTTTACCAGACCTACAAAGAAGAACTGGTGCCTAGCTTGCAGAAATTATTCCACAACATCGAGAAGGAAGGAATCCTCCCCAACATGTTTTATGAAGCCAACGTCACCCTGATACCAAACCCAGGAAAGGATGCAACAAAAAAAAAACTACAGACCAATATCCCTTATAAATGTAGATGCAAAAATTCTCAACAAAATCCTAGCAAACTGAATTTAGGTGCTTATCAAAAAAATAATCCATCACGACCAAGTGGGCTTCATCCCAGAGATGCAGGGATGGTTCAACATATGCAAATCTATAAATGTAATTGACCACATAAATAGAAGCAAAAACAAAGACCAGATGATCCTCTCAATAGATGCAGAAAAAGCATTCGACAAAATTTAGCACCCTTTTATGATAAGAATGCTTAAGAAAATAGGCATAGGTGGGACTTACCTAAAAATGATACAAGCCATATATGACAAACCCACAGCCAACTCATACTGAACGGGGAAAAGTTGAAAGCACATCTCTATCTGCCTCACCTTGCCCAGGAGCGTGTGTTGAGTGGATAGGTGGTATGGCGTCAGGCAGGAAGGCACAGTGATGGGAGAGGAGGCAGCCCTGCCCTCACCCTGGGCACCCTTTGGGACTGTGGGTAAGTGAAAGAAAGAAAAATAAAAAGCAGATTGTCAGGTAAAGCTTGGGTTATCGCTGCCACTTTTGTTTTTGTAACAGTATAAGAGGACACAGCCTGGCATCAGGGGGCTGAGTAACAGTACGTCCCATGGCTCCTTCACTTCTCTGGGCTGCCACTTCCTCATTTTCCAAATGAACCACTGACTGAGGTCAGAAGCCCTTGCAACACTCAGATTCTCTAAATTCGTGGAGAGACGAGTAGATTACTGAGCATCCCAGGATTCTGGGCACTCTCCTGAGCCTGGCTAGGCTGTGGGTTCTCCTCACTCACTCAGGCAGTTCCCTTCTGTGCAAGTCAGGTCGTGCTCAAGGGCCCCGTGCCATCTGCATTCCCATCGTGCATCTCGGCAGGCCTCGCAGGGCTCAGTTCACAGCTCTTCCCACGGTTGAAATCTATCTACCACCCAAACCCACTTTCACTTTTCCTGATGTCACTTTGCAGAAGCCGATGGTGGGGCTCAGTGATACCTATCCTGTTTTGAGGGCTGCTGAAGAGCTGGGCTTGCTCCCTGGGTCACAAAACATACTTCACCCTCTCCTAGCCCTCCAGGCTTTCCTTTTAGAAAATCACTTATCACAAGGCTGCAGAAAAGGAAAGGAGCTCTGAAGCCTCCTCTCTTGCTTCTTCCCATAGGTCACCAAGGAAAACAGAAGCCACCTCCTGCCGGATATTGTGACGAGTGTGCAGAGCATCAGGAGGTGAAGACTGTGTGCGTCCTTGCTTTCTGGAGAAGCGCCCCGGTTCGAGAGGAGCCTGCCCAGGCTTCATGCCTTTGGGGTTGTGAAACCTTGTGGGCTTTTCCAGAGAAAGCTTGACAGCTGTTTTCCATAAAATGTTTAAAGATCAAACTGGCCTTAATGTTGGATTGACTGTGCAAGATTAACAATCTGTTGTGGGTTATTTATACTTAAAGATTTCTGTTTATTTCCTCTTGCAGTCTTGCACATGATTTGGGTAAATGATGAGATGAGAAATGGTTTTCAGGGTATCAGAAGGAATTTGCCCCCATCGAAGTTTGTAAATGTGCTCAGGGGCGGGGGAGAAAGGAGCTCAGCACCTAATCAATTTTGCATGTCATGAAAACCGAATTCCTCTCCAGGCGCAGCTTCAGCCTCATGCAACTTGAAGTGATAAGTTATTTGATTTTTAAAAATTGTTATTTCAGAAGAAAACCATTTTAGTTCCTCCCCCCCAATCTCTTATTATTTGCTTATTGCTAATAAATATATAGAAATTCTGATGGTTACAGACACGAGTCCTTGTGTGGGGGAAATACACAGCCTTGAGGAATGTTGGTACCGTCTGCTGTTCAGCAGGCCGGGCGACGAGAGCTCGGGCTGTGGCTGGGTTAACTTGGGCACAGTTTCGAAGCTTTCTGTGCCCAGTTTCTTTTCCAGGAAAGGGGGGGCATGACTGTCATCTAAGGAGAGTGATGCCACACCATGGAAGGAAACTGTCAACTTTTCCACGCAACACGGTGGAGAGTGGGTTTATCAAGAGTAATCGTGTAGAAAGGTACAGTTCAGCTCACAGCAGGGCACAGCAGAAAAAGTAGGAAAACAGAAAAGACCACGGAAACTCTAGAATTCATAAAAGATAAAAACTTCCCTCCCAGGGATTGATGCCATTTGAGTGATAAAGCAGCTTAGTGTTTTTAGGTCATTTTTGATAAAGATCTATGAATTTCCAGGATTTTTTTATCAACCGGCGTTAGCTACAATCCCACTGGCATAGATGGCGTGTCCCTCTCCATAGCCGAGGACAAGTCAGGCAGGTGTGGGTGAGGCTGTGAGCCGGGCGTTGGGGTGCGGGGGCAGTGCGGGGGCAGTGCAGGAAGGGCTCGCACCAACACGAGGGTGTGCCGCCCAGGATGGGCTCTTGCGTCAGTCTTTCTTTCCTTGGCACTTTCTTCCAAGGTGGCTTTGTGAAGCTTCACCGGGCTTGCCAAGCCCTGGAGGGACCACAACAGGAAGGCCTAATACATGACGAACTAATCCCTCAAAAAGGGCGGCTTCCATGGTTAGAGGAAGTGGCCATCTCCTTCCACTGTCCCTGCCCTGGCTGGGCTGTTCACTGAGGCTGAGTGACGAGCTCGGGACATCTGGCAGGCGGCTGTGACTTCCAGCCCGATCACTGGAACAGGAGGGGCACTGAGCACGGGCGGGCTGCGTGCCTCAGTGGGCCAGGACGGCCACTGCCTCTGAGGCAGGTGGAGGCGTCCCACAAAGGCCTGGGAACCTGACGCTCGTCATGAATCTGTGAACACAGCACAGCCCTGGGAGAACCGAGGAAGAAGGAGCAGGCTGGGGAGACATTGACGTGCGCCCGAGGACAGGCCCAGCACCTGGGCCCGGCGGGGTGGTCTGCCTCAGCCAAAGTGGGACCCCATCAAGGTGGAGCCTTTCCTACCACCTCTTGGGAGGGTGGTCTGTGTTTACAGGGGTCCCTCATGCACCGGAAATACGGAGGGACGTGTTCTCTTTGCCGCTTGTCCTTTTGAGCTCAGTGTTTCAGTGGTGACTGTTCAGTAGACTTTTACTTTGTCTTACATTAGACGAAAAGCTGGTGAAATTGCCTTCAAAGAAGGTAAAATATAATAGTTTTAGGGGCTTATTGCGGAAGCCAATTGTGCCGATGGAGGGGTAGGAGTGTCGCTGTCCACCTGAAAGTATCCACCGTGCAGAACAGACTCGGTGGCCCCTGGCATCGGGCCTGCCGGAGCTTCTGCACTTCAATGCAAAGAGGCAAGCTTGGAGAGTCTAAGTGGTTGTTCAAAAGCACGTCGCTGGCAGTGGCAGGGGATTCAAGCCCGTGTCTGTGACAGCCGTTGGCTTGCTGCCCCACACACATAGAAGCCGATACCATGGCGCTGGTTTTTGAGAAAAGAAAAAGCTTTATTGCAAGTTGACTGTCAAGGAGGAGGCAATGGCAAACTCTCCCCCTGAGCTGGGGTCTGGGGGCAGGTTTTGTAGGTAGAGAGTAATTGCGGGGCGGTGGGGGGGGATGAAAATGCAACAAGGTGCGATCTGATGGGGTCATGCAAAGAGGCGGTGTTGGGTCCTTGGCTCTTAAGTCCGTAGTGCCACAAACAGGGCGCCCTCCCTTCTTAATTCAGGATCTGCTCCTCGGGCCTCGATCTGAGCATATAGGTTTTGCCTGTGGTTGACATTTGTTCCGGCCAGCTCCAGAGTCACCAGTCAGGCACAGGTGGTTCATCTGGGTATGCTCGGGTAGCTGGGGGTCTGTAGCAGCTGAAAGAAACGTCGTTTTGTTACATTTTGTTAACTGACCAGGTTGAATCAGATTGGACTGGTTCTCCGATGACACATCTGTATGGCTGTAAAGCCCGTGCTCTTTCCATCACTCCCTGCATTGTCCTAGTTTAGGCTTTGTCATTTTTAATGTATCATGTATCCCCAGACCTCAGAGCTGACATTTAGCTGTGATAAACTGTAGCTGCTGTGAATCCAAAAACCATTTAGCATCTCCCGTGGCAGGGTCCTTAAATGATTATTGTATTAGAATGATCTGTGAGCATGTATGAAGATAGCGGATGCAATCCCTGTATCACAAGCAATGAAATTTAATGAAGGATAAGATGAATTCACTAATAACTAGAACTCAGGGCCAAACGTGCACAGCCTGTAGCAACAGCAGCCTGCTGAGTTTTAAAGGAAGAAAAAAATGTCGTGGGAGAAAAAAATGTCGTGGTCCCTCTACCCACTAAGTGCAGTCGGGACCAGAGGAGCAGAGCTGAGCACCCGCCTCCGTGCTGGTGCCACGACTGAGATGAGCAACTCGCAGCTGGGGGTGGCAAGGGTAGGTTGAGGTCAGGAATTCTCATGCCCAAGCTTGAAATCTCAACTGTTCAGACAAATCACGTAACTAACATGGTTGGATGTGAGTCCCGACATAAGGAGTTCACTTTAAAAAACACAAAATTAACGTGTGTATTGCTTGTATGAAGAATTTTAGCTAGAGTAACAAAGTTGCATGAGAAGAAGCAGAACTGATTTAGAGAATGGTTTAGTAAATCATTCTTCCTTCTTCTCCCTTAAGAGATCATACCCTCAGCCTTTTAACTCGAAATAGTTTAAAAACTTTTTACTCCTTACCCTTGAATGTAAGTGGGTGCAGGGAGATGGACACATCTTTAAAATTTAGATAGAGCATCATCTCTCCGACTGTCATTGCTGATGGGTAGGGAGGGGTTCCCAGGAAAGTGCAAGTTCAGGCACTCAATTCCCAGCCCCAGTCATGAAGGGGACGATGGTGACCCAGAAAATGTGGGTCTCTTCCCGTCTAGCTCAGTGTTCATAGAAAGTTGTGTCTGGAAGAACTGCACCTGTGTGTATGCCGATGGCAGATGCTTGTGCAGCATAGCGACTTGGGACAAAACAGTAGTGAGATGAAGGCGGCGTGAGAGGAGAGGGCTCAGTAAACAGGCATCGCATTGCACATTTTATAGGCAAAGAGAAGTTGAAGCATCGAATGATTTTAGAAAACTATTGCTGGGCACAGATGGTTTCCATGCACAGTGCAGAATTTAGAATCAATGATGCCAAATTAGCCACACGATATATATAAAACCAAACGCTACAGTTTTTACGTTATCTTTAGAGAAGAAACTATTTTGTTCAGTGTCCAAATGCAGAAAATAACTCTTTAGCTATATGCTGGCAGAACATTTGAACAACTGTGGCAAGAAATGTCAACTCAGGAATGCCTTCTTTAAACAGGGGCTCATAATACGACATTTTGCAGGGAATACATTCTGATAAACAGCTGGCTGGATGAAGGACCAGATTAACAAGCTCATGAATTACAAATAAGTTGTGTACCACAATGAAAAAGGAAAAAAGTGGCTGCGTCGTTGACGCTGGCCAAACAGCCACCAAGAGTCCCAGGGTGACTCCAACACACCCATCTTTCCTCTCGTGGGTATACACCTGTGGATGAGAGTGTGTGTACACCTCCGTGCGCATACTTAAGACAACTGTATCTCTCGTAGTGCAAAGCAGGGTTGCATTCGATCTGGTATCTGAGAAATGTCTACCTGTTGTGGATAAACTGTAAATTTCCTCCTCCCTCCACCTGTTGGGTTTGAGTTCGTGTCGTGTTCCGTGGTTCCTGGTTCCCGGTTCCGAGTACCGAAGAATGGTGACTGGTAGGAGTGGATGGAATGAATGAGCAACCCCAACAGCAAGATTTATTAAAGCACAGCACGTTCTGGGCAGGGATGGGTCTATCTCCCCACGTGGAGAAGACCCTGGGTTTTTAACGCATTTCTACTTTTATGTCTACATCTTATGGTATGGTTCGTAGTGGGCAGAATATTCATTTTGCTTCAGGGAAGAGGGGTGGAGATTTCCTGGAACCGGGGACCCTCCCTTAACTTGTCCTTATAGGGTAACTTCCAGGGGCTGTCATGACATTAGGAAACTGTCAAGGCGCTGGTGGGTGTGATTTTTACTATGCTAATGAGGGTAGTTCACCCAAGGTGACTGCCAGCTCATTGGGGTACATGCCCCAATTTGGTTGTTTCTGCTGTTGGGCCATCTTTTCGGTTTGGGGGTTTCTTACCCTCCTCTGATTGGCCAGCAGCAGTATCTCTACCGAATCTCCCTTGCCTCGCCTCCACACCTGTTTCCCTTCCCTCCTGGTCCCTACCTAACACACCCCCTAAAAGCTTCCACCAAGAACCGGTGAACTAGGACAAGTAATAAACAGATTGTTGAAGCAGCGGCTCACGAGCCTCGTGAGTGGAATGGAGATGTAGGCACACCCAGGGTCCTCTCGCCTTCCCGTTTGCACTGCCATTTCTCCCCAGGTTAGATGTCCAGCTCTTTCAACAGATTTCCCTTTCTGTGGAATGCAGTGGTTTTCTGTGTGTCCTACTCCTGGATGCCCATTGTACTCCAGGCTGACCACTGCCAGGCACTTGTCATTTTTCTTACTGAACTCCAGGAATCTCCCCACGTGGGGAGGCCACACTCACAGCTCCAGGCCCGGAGTTTAGTCCTTAGGGCTTGGCTGTAAAGTTGCCCAGGAGGATTTCAGGAGCTGCTGGCCAAGTGTGGTTTGGCCAACTTAGAGAACTGCAGCGAGGTTATATCTGCTTCTCGTTAGATGAACAACTGCATTTAAATCAAAGTTTGCATCTCTAGGGATTGCTGGTCTGAGAATAATGGCATTCTGTCTTTAATTATAGAGGCCACTTATTGTTATTAATTGCTAATTCTTCTTTTACCAAAAAAAAAAAAAAAAAAGGCATTACCATCTACTTCCAAGGGGTAGGGATTTTCTGCAATGCCCTCCCCCGACCCCTCTCTCCGAACTTCCAAATCCTAGATACTTCGAAGAAATTCGTGTGACTGTTTACAAATTGACTATTTATTTCTAACTATTGTCTTTCCAAAAGGGATGGTTCAACAGGTCAGTGATATTCTTCATGGGCTGTGTTTCGGGACCCCTGCCCCTCCCCCGTGTCAGCAAGGGTACAGGTTTCTGCTCAACCCTGTGGGAGTCTCAAGATGGGAAAGGTTGTTTCAGAGTTTGCCCAAATGTCATTCTCACAGTACAGGATACATTTTTAGAAATGATGACAGTTTAAGCAGAATTCAAAACACTGGACACAGCAATAACTATAAACATTTTAATTGCAAAAACAAAGGTGTGTGCACGTGTTCTGTGATACAGCAAGGGTCGCTTGGCTTGGCGAACGAGCATGCACTCCTGTGAAGCACGCAGAGCCAGCAACACAGATCACGTGACTCCCTGGTGGCTTTTCCCACACCGACTGGACATGATTTCTAAACTCAACATCCTAACGCACCCGGCTCTTCACAGAATACGTGAGATGTGACTGCATGCACTATCACGGTTCTTGTTGTGAAGCGGCCACTATGTTATGCTTAGTTAACATCTGCATAAGTATTGCACAGAAATGAGGTTTTCTTTACACTCAGATTTAACCTTAATGCATTTGACCAGCTGATGGTATCAGACCTGCTGTTCATTTCTTTTTCATGGTAACAGCAATGTATAAAATGCCAATTATTTAACATGCAGTTGTCTTATTTTCATCAGGGCAAAAAGGAGTTATTCATGGGCCCTACTTTACTCTAGTTGTTTAAGATATTAAGTGGCTTTTGCTTGCAACTTCAAATTCTGGAAAGTGTGCAGTGCCTTTCGTGGTGCGCTGCTCTGGGTAGCGCAGTGCGTGGGGAGGCGGAGGCCTGGTGTATTGGTTTTGTTTTGTTTTCCATCATGTGTGTTTTTTTCAAGAACCTGAGATAAAGTTATTCTGTTTTCTAGCTCTCCTTTCTCCACGGGAACAGCCTCCCATGGATCGCAGTATCAGCTCTTTTTGATCTCAGGGGGCAGGAGGGAGAGCGATGTGGCCAAGCCCTGCGGAAGAGTCAGCTTTTCCCGACCCGACGTGCCGTCACTGCTCGTCCGAAGCACTCTGCTGGGACGCCGTGTCGTCCAGGCCCATGTCCTCCTGGCTTGCTCTTCTGCAGATCACCCCCAGAGTCTCTGCCACGGCCTCAGCCAGACGTCGGTCGCGAAGCTGCCCCTGCTCGGTGGCGTCGGTGGGTTCACAGGGCTCCGAGAAGTGCTTCCAAAGAGAAGAGAGAAGCAGCGAATAGCTCAGCATACATTTATCGGCCATTTCTTCTAATTAGCACCCTCCTCCTTGCTGTAGGAACTAAAGGCTAACAGTGCAACAGCCACGAGGTCAGGTTCTGAAGTCAGGTCGAATGACACAACAGCAGGGTGGCGTTTGAGGACAGGATGTGCAGCTGAAGCCACGTCTCTAACAGGGGCCTTTTCTGGGTGATGTGGACATGACATGCCAGAAGGAGCTGCCTAAGGGGAAAGGCCATCTGTGTGCCGGCCTGGCTTTCCTGCGTCTGGGACAGTGGCACTTCTTGCACACCTAGCGCTTGTCACCAATGCTGAGTGTCTGCAGGTTTGACCCCAGCAGTAGTACAGAGGCCTTTTTATTCTGCATACGTGGAGTCTCAAGGACTCAATCATGCCTTTTGGAAGGAGAATTTGCCAGAATACCAGAACTGCATCCATGGATCGGGACTTGAACATAGATTGGGGGGGTGGGAGAAAGGAGTGATATTTTGTGTGTTTTGACTGAGAAAATGAAAAAAGGGAGGGAAGTTTATACCTTCAATTATCTAACTAAGGTAAAACTGAAGTAACCGGCTCTTTTCTCTTGGCCGGTGTGGCCTGGGGGCTCCAGGAAGCCTGTAAGTCCTACCTCTCCCCCATGAAAGGTGACACACCACTGCTGCAGCCCTGACTCTTGCTAGGCCGGCCCGTCCTAGCCTTGGTTCCCACTAGGCAGGAAGGCACCTGCCTGGAGAGCCCAGAGAGGGTGACGCTGGCATGTTCGGACACCGCCCCTTCCTCCACCTACAGCCAGAGGCCACGCCCTGGGACGTCTTGTGCTTGAGGAGGAGCATGAACCTCAGGCGAGAATATGTGTGGACATTCAAAAGGAGTAGGAGAAAGCTCCAAACCTGACCTATTTTTGCCTTAATGGCATCAATTTCCCCCTCTCCACCATGTCATGTAAGAGAACTGGCACGTATTAATCTGTTTACTTTGTCACTTACGAAGTTCAAGTATTCATCTAATGTCAGCTAGCTTGGAATTCTGGACAATGGTTTATTTGAGTGAAGTCCTTAAAACTCTCTTTTTCTTGTATTAAATACCTACAGGTAGTGCGGTCTCAGCGGCCTCACTGGCTGGGAGCCCGTGGCGGCCCAGCTCAGTGCTGATGTGTGCCCTCTCCTCTTCTCGGGCCAGCGTGCGTGACAAGAGCAGGAAGTGCTCTGTCCTAGCGTACGGATGAGTGGAGGACATCCCCTCACACCCCTGGGTTTAGGGTTCATCGTAACAGTCCTGCTGTTACACGTGGCGCCCCCAGTGCCGCCTGCCTGGGGATCGCTGTGCTCCAGATCTCATCTCATCACTGCCCTTTGTCATTCGGGGGCCCTGTAGAGACGGGGACGGAATTCTGCAGGCAGGCGGGTGGGAGCATGAGGCAGGTCATGCGCAGGCCACCAGCCCATGCCACCACCCTGCCTGCCCCAGGGAACCACGCCCAGCCTCTTACCCGCGTGGCCTGGCTGGTGGCCCTGGCCGAGGGGCCCATCACAATGTTGACGCTGCTGGATGACTGGGTGTCACTGGTGTTTCCCCCCTCTGCAGCGGAGAGTCCAGAGATGACGAGAGCACTGGAAAAGCTCCTCTTGCCGAAGAGGAAGCTCAGGGTGGAGCTGGTGGAGGAGCCCAGGCTGGACCTGATGAGCGCCTCGGCCCGCTCTCGGACGCTCAGGTGGCCCGTGGTGGTGATGGGTGGCGGCTGAGAGTGCAGGGATGCCACTGAGGCGTGCAAGGAGAGCCGGCTGCCCGACAGCCTCTGGGCCAGCTCATGGACCGATGAGGACGTTTGCAGGAAGGCCTGGCGACTCTCTAAGATCGGGCCGGACGAACTCAGTGTGGGCGGCCTTTGGCTTAGCGCAGAGGGTGCCTGGACAGACTGGCTCCTGCCTTTCCTCCTGCCTTCAAAAGAAAGCAGAAAGCGTCATCGTCGCAGGTGGTCATGGAAATCGGAGTCTGTGTGGTGCAGTGGGCAACCTGCTCTGCCTGGGCCTGAAGAACCCGGGGCCGTGCACCGCCTGTGCGGCTGGGAGCACAGCTGGAAGCCCAACCTCACCGAGCCCTCCTGAGAGCTGAAGGGCCAACCCAATGGCACCCTGGGGTGGGAGTGGGGTGTAGGGAGCTGAAGCCAGGGTGACTAACCCACCCAGTTTGCTCAGGACTTTCATGGTTTTAGCACCAAAAGTCCTGGGTCCCTGGAAGCCACAGGATGACACCAGCAGTGTGACGTGGCCTTACAAAGCAAATCTGGATTCGTTTCTGGCTTACGACCTTGGTTCCTGTGCTCATCTGATAAGCCGTGATAAAGGAAAATGTGCAGCGTTTGTCATTTTTAGTTGCCATGGAAAAAGAAAAAAATGGTGGTGGGGGGTGTTGGAACCACATGCTGTGGCCTTTGTTTTCTAGGACAGTCTTCCCTTGAGATCAGGGTGGGGTCTTTCAGGCGAAGCCTGTGCAGGCCCAGGCTCGGGTCATGTGTTCTTCTCTCCTGGTGTGGCCCTCAGCTCCGTTTGCCAGCCGTCCCTCCCCTCAGAGGCCCCAGCTCTTGCTAAGACTTGTCTAGACAAGGCCATTTTGATGAAAGGGATTGGATGCCCCCAAAGATCTGGCCCTGTCCACACCTCTGGAAGAAGGAAAACTTCAAGTGGGTCTTCAGTGCCTGATCTACGTGCGCAGCATATGTTGTTCGGCCTTGTAAAACGAGCAGTGAGAAGAAACTGGCACTTGCTAGACTGTTGCTTAACTTAAGCTTCAGTAATCACTAGGGTCTAATTTTAAATTATCATTTGATGGGAGCAGCTAGTGATGCCACAGTTCCACCGGTTGCCTCACCAGCCTGTCTCCTGAAGCTGCTACAATGAGACATTAAGCCAAGACATATAGAGGGTGGAGGCGTGGGTACCAGAAAGGATGTCCTAAAGCAATCTCCTCATGTGCCACCTCCCCAAATGCTCAAGTTATTAACTGTGCATCTGGTGATTCCAAAACATTTACATGTGCCTACAGGAGAGCCCGAGAGTGACATGGCATTTGAAAGGTAACTGCTTAGGGAACACGTGGTACTGTGGAGGTCCCAGGCTGAAGGGGCCTTTCCGCCTTGCGTTGACTGCAACGCCAGTCGGGACACTGGGTGGCGGAGTGCACATTTCCAGAGGCCACTGGGACTCCCACCTCACTTTCTCTTGCCCATGTGCTGAGAAAATGGGGCGCTCACCCTGCATTGCTGCCCAGGGTCCCACACGACTGGCACCAGCCCCCCTGGGGTGAGAGTGCTCAGCCCGGGGCACGAGGGCCCATCCACCTCTGCTGCCTGAAAGGTCCCTGCTGAGCAGTGGAATATGTTGCTCTTAGAAAAAAGAGAAAAGGGACCCTGACTAATCACAATGAAGAACAGGGAAGGTGATTTGTTAGTTTATTCAGAGTCTGGCAAGGCTGAACATCTGTTTGTGATTTATACTATAAAGCTGATCACTGTCCAAAAATACTCCACATTCATCGCAAGTCAATGACTTTGATGCTGGATAGAAGACCACCCGTACTTGGTGGGGAACTCCCCAGTTAATTCCAGGAACAAAGGGACAAGTACCCCACTGCGTGTCAAAGGGGAATGGGCTTGTAGTCTATGTGAGACGAGGATTCCCCGCTCCTGCAATCTCATTGCTTCGGATTTTCTTGTTGCTTTTTTTTTTTTTAATTTTCATTTTGCAAATGGAACAGCACCAACAAGTAAGCAAACCATGGATAATATACTTTTGCTACTTAGGATCATTATTTTACATTTAACTTATTTTGCCAATTACTGCATTACCAAATTGTAAATATTTCTTGGGAAAATCATCTTAGAACCTAAATAGAAATATCTTGTATATAAATGACCCTCCTTGGTTCATCATTGTGGCACTTAATACCTCCTTAAGTTTGGACTCTAGTCCTGTCTAGTTGGCCTCCCTTGAGTGGATGTTTTGTTTATGTCCCCGGCCTTGAAGCCCTCATCATGAGATTCGGAGCAGAGTCACCCCAGGAGCTCTCACTGAAGGCAGCTGCTGTGGCGGTGGGCGGGGCAGCGGTGAGTTCCGAGATGCTTGCGCAGCTCAGGCAGGTGGGAGGGTGGGAGGGCTGTACCCCGACATCTTCCCCCAGGACTCTCACTGGGCCCCTCAGGGACTCTAACCCAAACAGTCTGGAGAGACGGCTGCTCTGCAGGCCTGTGTTCTTCAGTGGACGGCTCAAGGACTACAGCTGGAGACAGCCTGGCTATCCTAGGGGACCATCGCATGGGCCTCCTCTCAGGGAGGGAAGCCTTCTAGGGAAGCTGTGGTGGAAGTGGCTGAGGCAGAGGGGAGCTATCCACTCATTCATCCATTCAACCAGCGTCTGCTGGGCCCAGGACCACCCTTACCTGAGTGACTACCTGGCCTAGCACCTTCCAGGTCCTATTTGGCCCCCTCCAGCCATATTTATCCCCACGGGGCCAGGAAGCTATGGAGACAGGGACATGCCAAGCTGCTCCCATGCACGCCTTCTGTGCCATGTGCTGGGTCCCCAGGACTCCAGAACTCTCTGCCCTCATGCGGGGCCTGCAAGGGCCTCTTCCCCAGGCTTCCATCCCAAGGTGGGCCTGGGGTCTTCCGGCAGGTGCATGCCTCCCCAGGCTGGATACAGGTGGGGTGGGTTCTAGCATGTGTACACAGCCCCTCGCCAGGCAGATATGGGAAAAGTAAGGAAGAGGATGGTGTGGTCTCCACGAGTTCTCCTGCCCCAGGCTCTGCAGGAGTTGGGACCGGCCCGACCGGGTGTCCACTGCGGGCTGTGCTGTCCTAGGTGCCAGGAAGTGAGCAGCTCACGGCCCCTGCCCCCATGGAGAATCCTGACCACAGACAGTGGACATGTGGCAGGTGGTGACTGGTGGGAAGGAGAACGTGGGCCATGGGGAGGGGGCATGCTGTGTGGACAGCTGGCTGGGACTTCTTGGAGAAGGTGGCATTTGATGGGAGGCTGAGTGAGCGAAGGATCCTGAGATGGGGACACATTCTAGGTACAGGAAGCAGCACTGAGGAGCCTGGAGGGACAGCAAGGAGGCCGTGTGGCCAGGTGGCCTGGGCCAGCGGGAGAGGGCCAAGAGAGGGTGTCAGAGAGACAGCAGGTCAGCATAGGCCTAAAGGCAGGGGGCCACCTGGGGTGCTGTTATAGGCTGAACTCTGCCCCCGCCCTGAATTCGTATATTGAAGTCCCAACCCCCAGGACCTCAGAACGTGACCTGATTTGGAAACAGCGCTGTTGCAGATGTAGTTAGTTAAGATGAGGTCGTACTGGAGTAGGTTGGGCGTCTAGTCCAACATGAACAGCATCCTTATAAAAGGGGCATTGTGGACACAGACAAGCACAGTGAGGGCACCGCATGGAGAAACAGCCAGAGATCAGAGTGATGCTTCTAGAAGCCAAGAGATGCCAAAGACGGAGGCAAACCACCAGGAGCCAGGGCAGGGGCCTGGGACAGAGTCTCCCTCACAGGCCTCCAGTACCTTGATCTTGGACTCCAGCCTCCAGAACTGGGAGACAGTAAATAAGGTCGTCAAAGCCCCCAGGCTGCAGTACTTGGTCACGGCAGCCCTAGCACCCCGATACAGGTTTATTCTGAGCTAAGGCCGTTATTCAACAGAAGAATGATATGAACTGACTTATATTAAAACAAAATCACTCTGGCTACATGGAGATGAGGTTTATGACCTTGCGAGTCATCAGAGCTGCATGGAAGGCAGAGGAAGACGGGAAGGGAGAGGCTTTTTCTTCCTTGAAGTGGGAGGGGGGCCCAGCCTTGTTCCACTTCCCCCTCCCCTTCCAGCTCTCTGACCCTCTGCTGGGGGCACAAGCCTCAGGACAGCGTCCCCAGGCTGCGGTGCCTTTTTTCCTCAGGCATGTCAGCTTGTTGGGCCAGGAAGGGACCTGCGGCAGTCTCTGCCCCACGCCATCCCCTCCCTGCCCACAGTGAGGAAATAAAGAAGCCCTGGCTGGATGCTTCTGGAAGAAATGGTGTCAGCTTTGCCTGCCCGTGGGGCTAGAGGAAGATCACTTGTAAGCAGAGCCCTTGCCAGCCAGGGGACGGGACAAAGCCACGCTGGGCAGGGACACTGCCAGCAGCACAGATGGAGCGCTGGGAGCAGGGCAGTGTCGTAGGTGTTGAGGAAATACTGGCTTCCATCAGTTCGTTCCCAGGGCTGGGGACAAGGACACCTGAGGGGAGGCAGCGTCCCCCGGCCAGGGGATGGTGCACGGCAGTTAGGATCCCAGGGGCACTCACTGCCTATGGCGTCCCGGCTCTGAGGAGAGGAAGGAACAGCAGCTTTTCTGGGCCAAAGCCAGTTGCTGGTGCTGTTTTACTCATAAGAACAGGAAGAAAGTGTGTCAAATTTCTTTTCTAGCAAGCTTCAAGAAACCAGGTCCAAGGTCTGTCTGGCCCGCTCATCTCTGCCCCCTTCTCTGACCACCCCCAGCCCGAGCCCCGACTCCGGACTTCCTCTGTCCAGACCCGTCACCGGGGAGGACTGGCCGACCCCAAATGCTTAGGCGTTTCACCACGTGGAACCTACCTTGCATTGTCCCATCGGGAAAATCACTTACATGATCTCGAAACTTACATTTTTCGTGTGATAACAAATGTTGACTAAGCAACGAGACACTCCGGCCTGGGGGCCAGCTACAGCACGGGGGTGCGGCGGGCGCTCTGCAGGGGCTGGGGGGGGCTCTTCTGTTCTGCTTCTTAGCAGCTGATACCCGCTGCTTTGTCTGTGTATCTACCCACCTGTCTCTCCTTCTATCATCTATCAGCCTCTAGCTACCTGTCTATCACCTCATCCATCCCTCCCTCTCTCTCTCCTCGTCCTCGTGCTCATACAAAATCTGCTTTCTCCGTTCAGCCCTCTGCCTTGCTCTGGGCACTCCCAGGAGGCAGGGACTCTTCCTCCGAGCTCATGTGGCGCAGGGCTGACAGGGAAGCACGTGCACAGGCGCTTATCAAATGCTTCTGGATGGTGAGGAAGATCTGGGGCCAAAAGGTGAAACCGCTAACAGGTGCTGGAGGGCAGAGCCAAGGCCTGGCAGGAACCAGGGCAGAGCACCTGTCTCTCTGCGTTCCCAGTATACTCATCCTCTGCTAACCCTCAGGATGGCCTTCTCCAGCCTGGCTAAACCCTCCCCAGCACAGCACGACCCCTGGGGTTTTGGAACTTCATCCATATGGTGGAGTTTAACTATTTGGTTGTCAGCGTAAACTTGATTTTAAACTTCGAACTCAGCCTGGACTTGGCCGCAGCCACCTCCCCCTCCACGTTCCTGCCTGCAGGCACCCTTCCTCTCCTCTCAGCCTCCGAAACATCCAGCCCAAGTGGAGGAAGGTGAGAACCAGAGAGGCAGGAGGGGAGAGGCAGGAGGCCTGTCTGTGCACGCCACGAAGGCTTGCAGAAGAGGAAGACGCCACATGGCTCCGAGGCTACAACACAGCCGGATGCAGAAGGCACAGTCACTGAGTGAGAGATGGAAGGGAGTGGTGGGACACCTGCATAGGTGGCAGATGGATGAGTGGCTGGCCAAGGTCACGGACAGACAAATGGATAGATGAGAAAAGCTGAAATGAGCAGAGTTTTTTTCTGAGCAGAACCTACGAGAATCAGCGAAGTTCAGACATCCATTAGCCCGATGCTGACTTTCATTGCAAGAAGGAACTGTCCAAGGTTAGAATGAAAAGCCAACTCACGCTATTGGTCACGATGACCAGACGGGCTTCATCGGTAGCCCTGAGGCCCCTGCTGCACCCACCTGTCCCCTGTGTCCCTTCATGGGTTGAGGCCCCGGGCTGGGATCCACCTTTTCTGGGCTGTTCCACGCTGTCCTGGCTGCCGCCACCCGGAGCATTGCTGCCACCTGCCGCAGGGGCCCCTCCTCCGTCTGCGTCCTCAATGTTGCCGCTGCTGTGCTGGCGGGCGTTGCAGTCCTTCCGCATCCTGTGGGAGGGAGAAGCACTTCCAGGAGTCTCACCAGCGTGTTTCTGATACCCCTGAACGCCCCACCACAGCCGTGTCTAAATCAAGATGGAAGAGCATGCTCTCCGGGAAAGCAGCACACAGGGAATGCAGGGTGGGGCCGGGGCTTCTGTTCCCCAAACAGCAGCATCTAATAAATGAACAGGGTGTACCAGGGTGTATGAGCTTCAGTCTCAACTTTCCAGTAAGAACCCTTAGCTTTGAGGCCCAACAAGGAGCTCTGTCACGTTGCGACAAAACTTAGAATGCAGCCTAAGTAACTAGAGACTCATTTCTGCAGCCAGGAAGGCTTACTGTATGAGAGATGTGTGCAGGGGGAGCCCAGGCCCAGCTCTCTCTAACAGATGTGGAATGGTTACTCCTAAAGACCCACGACCTCTGCAGCGCTGCAAGAACTCTAGCAGATTCTCAGCCTGTGCAAGTGTGGGGGGAAAAGAGTCTCATCTGGATGAGATTTCCCATTGACTCAAAGTCTGCGACTGCTTGCTGAAACAAATGATCTGCCAGATGTCACTTGGGTATGGCAGCTTTCATCGTATGAGAAAATGGTGGTCGCCAGTGAAATTCGAACCAGAGATAGGAGAGTCCCCCCATCCCCCCCGCAGCACCCAGACAGAGGCCTTCGTTGTAAAGCCTACCTCAGCCACTTGGTCTGGAGCCACGTCCTCACTCTGTTCAAAGTGATGGGTCCGCCCCAGACGTTCTTCAGCTGCCTGTGGGTCCCTAGATAGGAGGTGGTCAGTGGGGAGACGTACATGGGGTAGCCCAGGGGCTGATCACAGGAGGAGTTGATCAAGTTTCGCAGGACCTGCTTGTTGTTCTGGATGCTGCCGCGCTCCGGGTTGCGGTTGCGGAGGAAGATGAGCTCCTGCTGCTGCCCGGCCCAGAGTCCTCGGACACATTCTTTGTTAACCTGCAAGTCAGGGGAGGAGCAGGGGAGAAAGGCAGCTGTCCTGGGTCTCCCAGTCTGTTGGTTTTAACCCACAGGGAGTGAGCGGGGCCCTGGGACTGAACATCTGCGACTACAACACTTTGGCCTAAAGTTTTTTCAGAGTTGAGCCAGAATAGCTGTCCTGTGAGATGGATATAATGTCATTTTCATGGGGAAACTGAGAGAAAAGAAAGTTTTTGTTTCAGCCCAGTGGTGTGAAGCTATATAGAAAGAGGAGTCATTGGAATAAGGCTCTGGGATCCAAGAATGGGTTGTTAGAGAAAGGTCTGGAATTCTAGAGAATTAGAAAGTCTTTAAAAACAGGCTATATCCTGACCCTCACCTACATGTGTGTTTACAGGACTTCTTGCCCAAGTCCTTGCCTGATGCTGGTTCTGCGAGGTGGGCGCCGACCCCGCAGGGGACGCAGTGCCAGCCTGGCTCCCTGCCCTGCCGCTGCTGGCCGGGCAACGCCCCGCTGAGACTGTTCCTCTCACAGAGGATGCTGGTGCAGGGACTCACGTGTCAGTGCTAACCACTGCTCTATGTCCTCTCAAATACATCCCAAACAAGAGACTCATGCCAATGGGAGGCTGGAAGTGTGGCCGCCGTACCTTGATCACCTTGAAGCTCAGGAAGCTTCTGTGCAGCATGATGACCTTGTACTCGTCCGTGCCCTCGTCCACCACGTGCCGCAGGGTGAGCAGCTCCTCCCTGTTGGCCAGCACCGCGCCTCGCCAGGCCGGGTCGCCCTCATGGCAGATGACCACTTTCTTCTCGAAGGACTGGATGGCCTCGTAGAGGACCACAGGGTCTTCATATTCGTCTGGGCAAGTGAACTGGTCCTGTGGGAAGAAGTCCCAGGTGTGGACTGGGTGGGGACCTGGCCCCCGGGGTAGATGAACGGATGGTGACTGGCTGGTGGCTCCAAAGCTGAGTCCTCTCTTCATCTTGCTCTCTCCCTTATTTTTTTTCTGGATCCCAGCTGGGAACAGAGGACGCCTCCTCTTCTCATTGTCCTAACCAGTGACATGCCTAGGAAAGAGCTTCGTGGCTGAGGTTCCTGTGATTTTCAGATGCAGTTTGGGCATGTCTGATACGCCACTGTCCCCGGCCAGTGCCCCTCTCTTCCTTCCTGGTGGAATACCACCACCTCTTAGCCGCTCTCGGGGGCAAACAGCCATTGCCAATGTCAAGACACCTAGACAGCCTCAGTGCTTAGTTACCTAAGTAACGAGTCCACTCTCAATGCTGTGCAGTGAAAGGGGACCATATTTTTCAAAGGCCATTTTCCCCCTAAAGTTTCAGGCTGATACTTTAAAAAAAAATGGATTTTTACCTGGTGAAGTTTCAGGGACATCCTGATAGCCGGAGCGACAACTTTATGCAGTAGGTCCATGTCAGCAAATACCCACTCGTCTCGTGCTGTTATTCTAAAGTCACCTTTGAAGAGGGCGTGGAGGCCATATAGAAAAGAATCCAGGCTGTAAAACAAAGTCCTGATTACTGTTAATTCACACTGAACAAATGTTCAGAATCCTGTCGTTGTGAGCAAGGTTTGAGTCTCCCATTGGTGTCACCTTCAGTCATCTTAGGAGGCACTTGATCTCCAAATGTGACATTGGAGGTCTGGGTCAGAAAAGGCAAAGCTATCCCAGCAATCCCGCCAGCCCTCCACTTCTCAGGACGTGACAATGCTGACTGCGGAATAATGCAGGCGTCTTTCTTCTTCTTTGTAATTCTAGATATCATTTTGGGGCTATGTTACTCCTAATAAAAACTAGACCCTACCACAATATGGAGTGGAAATAAAACCAAAAGAAACCTCAAACTGGTCATTTAGGCTCTCAGAGAACATTCATTTCCCAGTCCCACCCTTTTTTTTAATGACTAGAGGAAGAGGTAGAATTGTGAGGCTTAAAATGAATGCCTAAAGGATCTTTCAGGATTACCTAGGTTTTCATGATTCTAGGTTTTTCCTGCCTTGCTTCCGTTTCCCGCACGTCACTGAGCGTTGCCAGGATGGAGAACTGGAGTGTAAGTTACTCAGGGGAAATCTCTCAGGGCCTGGGGCCTTTACATTTTGGATGAACTTGGCGGGGGAGGTTTGGACCAGCGATGCATCTTGCATTCTGCGGAGAGGAAGAACAGCCCCTCCTTTCTTCTTTTCTTTTCTTTTCTTTCTATTAATATTCTCCATCACAGCCACCTCTCACAGCCCTGGCCTCCCACATCCCTGGGAGCAGTTACGTGGTAGTGTTAGAAACAACATCCCGGTAGGGCCACCCTGGGACAGAGCGAGCCGGGCAGCATGCGTGGAAGGGGACCTCTGAGGGTGGCTGCTCCTGTGGATTTAATGAGCCGGCTCGCAGAGCAGGACTTTCAATTCCACACAGCGTGCTGGTCCTGCCCATCAGGGAAATGGTTCTGCTGATTGCTATTTTAGCGTTTCCTCCTGAAATGTGCCGCTACCATTAATTTCCTTCTAGAACTCCCTTGAGAAAGACACTGCCACAGAGGCTTCGCGGCCTCAGAGCAGATTGTGGGAAATGAGAACAGCCCAGCCTGGGCAGGTGGGGCTCTGGGTGCTGTGGCCTGGAGGAGCCCGGAGCCTTCCAGAAAGAGATCCACGAGGGAGCAACTGCCCAGAGGGCACCAGGAGGGCACTTACTGGACAGCAGAGCCAGGCTTCAGAAAGCTAATGCTGGGAGTGGAGGCTTCGAAACGTGAATAATGATCACTGTCTGCTCTCAGCTGAAAACATTTGGAAAGGCTGCCATTGTCAGATAGGAGCTAAGTGCTAAAATGGGAGAGCTAAATCCTAAAAGAAATGGGTGGGATTTATTCAGGAAAGGATTAGGAAAGCCGTGCTGCTTGCTCAGAATGGCCTTGTGTAAGCATAAGAGAAAAAAACTCCCTCCAGATGTGGGGATGGGGACGGTGGCAAAGATTAAGGGACTTGCCCAGATACCCAGAGCAACGTCCACAGACAAGAGAGAAGAGCGAGGACCGCCAGGCGTCAGCCTGTTGTGAGCTCAGCTGCACGAGCAGGGCAGTCATCAGTTGGTTACTCATCAGCAGAAAAACTCAGCTTCCACAGGGCCTCACTAAGATAGTTCCCATCCAAGGCCCCCAACAATAGATGCTTGAGCTGTCATTTCTATTTTCAGAGAAAATGACGCATTGTGGTGCTTCATGCTGTTCTACTAAAATGATTCTCAACATAGCAAACGGTCTGAGTTAGAATTCCACTAGACTGGGGGTATTATCCCTAGCACCTTCGAGATCAAGACATCCTAAAAGTAAGGTGTTTCATTACCTGCCTTTTTCCCTTGAGAGAACGAGGAAGGGGACCAGCGAGATGTGACAAGCATAGGTCAGGGTGGAGAGAGCAGAGGTCTCCGGGACACCTGCAGCACATTTCTGGTTTGGAGCTTCACAGGACTTTGTCTGTTTAAGACTCTACTGAGAAATGACAGGCTCCTACCCCCAGGCCAACAGCTGGAGCAGTTTTTATTACTGGGAAATGGTGTTGCATCTGAGTCATTCGAGGTCGGCCTTCACGGGGACTACAGCAGGCCCCACTCCCACCCCTCCCACGGACGTGCATGAGTGAGGCAGGACACCCTGTCCTAGTTGGTCAGCTGGGCAGTCAGCGGAGTGGGGAGGACCATGCCAGCAGTGTGGGATTACATGGGGCACGAAGGCAGGCTGGCCCCCAAAGAAACCTGGTATGTGTGTAATCATGTGTTAGAGGTGCGTGTCCACATGTAGAACACCAAATACTGCGGCAACAAGATATCCACGGGCTTCTATGGCGCCATGGAAGTGCTAAATACTGTCACAAATAAAAACAGCACTAGAAAAATATCTCTCCTTGATATGATAATGAGTAGCTGACACTTGAGTGCACTTTCTTTTCAACTAGAACATGCCGGTATGTACTGCTTAGGCTGTAACACTGCGCCACTTAGCTCAGAATGAATCCGCCACTTGCTGTCTTTCTGGTTCCCCACCCAGCCACCGATTTCACGATGCCATACCTGGTGGTGACGAGCACACACGAGAGGCTGGGTGGTCAGTGTGAGGTGCAGTTCTTTACAGCCTTCCTGGAAAGGGCTGTTCTCTGGTGGGAGGCTGTGGCCGTTGCTTGCAGCGTCGGCCACTGCCAAGACTCTAGCTCATGGTCAGCCCAGGGCTTGTGACCCAACAAGCCCAGCCCATTGCAGCATATCCGCCCCTCCCCTTCCATGGCAATGACAATTTGGAGATGGCCAACTGAAGCAAAGGTTGTTTTCACACTCTTTTATTTAGGATTTCTTTATCCACAGAGTTCCCATCCACGATTGTTCCAGACAGAGGTTGCTTACGCCCCCCGAAGCCCCAATTTTGTTCAAAATCACTGACCACCAGCTCAGCCCAGTTATCACCTGCACCTTCTTTCACAGTAGGTCTCAACCTGATATTGATTTTGGGCCACAGGGGACATTTGGTAATGTATGGAGACATTTTTGGGTGCTGCATCAGGGTTCAGAGGGAAACAGCTTTAATGCAGGGACAGTTTCTGCAGGACTCACAAGGGCATCCCCAGCACAATGCCTGATCTGTTCATTTTAGTTAATTTCCAGACAGGCCTGTAAATACCGCGTTGTTTACAGATTAGCATTGTGGAGAGCCGTCTGCTGCCGCACATTGCCATCAGTAGAGCACTTGTAGAACATATGCACACAGTTAAGTGTGATTTGCAGGCTGGGTTTCCCCTGTTTACTAATTAGTGGTGGAGATACTCAGAGAGTCACTGTCCCAGGCGCAGACAGCACCTCCACCTCGGGCACTGCAGCAAGCTCTCGTCATGTGTGCTGTATTCTCCTACGTGTAATCCAGCAACCATACACTAGTTTCATGGTTAATTCCATACTCCTGACCACACTCTCCTGCTCCAGTTCCCCAAACAAAAACAACAATCCAAAGCAGGGCATGGTGGCATGTGCCTGTAGTCCCAGCTGCTTGGGAGGCCGAGGGGGGAGGATCGCTTGAGCCCAGGAGTTCAAGTCTGCAGTGAGCTAACACTGTGCCTGTGAATAGCCACTGCACTCCAGCCTGGGCAACACAACAAGACCCTATCTCTAAAAACAACAAAGGACAAACAAAAAGGCAACGACCTAGATGACAATCACCATCTCCGAGCAACTAAAAGCGAGGCAGAGAGAAGGACAACACCTTACATTTTTCTGGTGATTTGTGTGTTACTAAATGCTTTCCATTCTATAGGTTCCTCTCATTCTCACAGATACCTGTACAACACATATTATTATAACCCTTTCGTATAAGAGAAAAGGAACAGAAAAGTCGAGAAAGAGGACAAGATGGGTGGGAACAAATACTTGGTACTTTATGCCACACTGAAGGGGCACAGGAGAAACCCCTCTGGCTGTCTCCAGGCTACTTACCTCTCTAGGAAACTCAGACCTGCTTTTAAAAGGTGTGACGAGGGTCATCTTCTTAAAGTACAGCTCAGAGGTTGGGTTAGAATGACCTAATCCCTTTAAAGGTGCCAACCTTTTTGGCACCAGGGACCAGTTTCATGGAAGACAATTTTTCCATGGACCGGGGTTGAGGGGTATGGTTTCGGGATGATTCAAGCGCATTACGTTTACTATGCAGTCAAATCTCTCTGCTGATGATATTTTGTATTTGCAGCTGCTCCCCAGCGCTAGCATCACCGCCTCGGCTCCACCTCAGATCATCGGGCATTAGATTCTCATAAAGGAGCACGCAATCTAGATCCCTCGCATGTGCAGTTTATGGTAGGGTTCGCGCTCCCGTGAGAATCTAATGCCGCTGCTGATCTGCCAGGAGGTGGGGCTTATGCTCACCTGCCACTCACCTCCTGCTGTGCAGCCCGGTTCCTAACAGGCCACCACCGGAACCGGTCCATGGCCTGGGGGTTGGAGACTGCGGCTTTAAAGGCTTCAGTTGAGCCAAGTGGTGAAAATGCTGCAGGTGTAGTTCTTGAACTGACCCCCACCTCTCCCTGAGCTCGATCTCCAGCAATTTTCTCACGTTTCAATTGGTGTGCATACTCTGTCCACATCCTGAATGGAGTGTATTAATATTGCTTTCATGCACTCTTTAGCCAGAAAGTTACTCCATTGGCTCTAAAATCAAGACAAGCCCAGGTTGGGATCCCAGCTCTCTCCTAGCTGGTAAAGAACACTTGGAAAGAACATTCTGTAGAGAACACACGGTGTCCCCTAAATAGCTCCAAGGTGCTTCACTTCCTTTAGAGTTCAGGTGCCGCGCTGAGAGGCAGCAGATGGCCCCACAGGGCTGGAGGGACGAGAGCCAGAAGCTCCAAAACTTAGTTTAATTAAGTCTTGGCTCTGACACTGTCTCTCTATCTCATTATCATTGATTTCTTCCTGTGCTCATTCTTAAGATCCCGTACCTGCAGGTGTATTTAGAGGCTTGGCTTGCTGAGGCT